ATGAATAGTAAATAATTTATGCGAAATTTTCCTAAGCATTTAAAAATAATTTTATCTGTCAGAGATTTGTTGCTTCATTCATTGTCATTAGAAATTACTTCTCTAAATTTATTCTTCACGTAATGTTGTCTACTTGTCTTGAGTAAATAATAGCCTTTTGTTATAATTTTGCTAAACGTACCCTTCATCTAATGTCTTTTTGTTCTTAATAATGTGTTTATCTTTAATAAAAGTCTCATTACTATCTTAGGGCACATTATAATGTCATTATGAGGGCAGTTGAGGTGGATGGTGATTCTCTAGACCTTCCATCAGATTTGTTTGGCACAGATTCTCAGGGAGGGACAATAATCGATAGTGGTACAACCTTGGCCTATCTTCCAGATGAGATTTATGAACCGCTTATGGAAAAGGTGGGTCTAATACTTCAAACCTTGCGAATCCATTTTATCCTAAAATTAAGGATTGACACAGCATAATTTTTTTTCATCAATCCATCTACGTGTACCTTGTGTGTGTATTTTCCTTCTAACCATTCTCAATCCCCCCCCCCCCCCCCCCTGTAGGTGATGGCACGGCAACCTAATCTAAAAACTCAAATTGTTGAGCAACAGTACAAATGCTTTGATTACAGTGGGAAGTAAGGCTCCTCAGTTAATTCCTCTCTCTCTGTGCGCATGCGCTTGGTGTTGTATATTATTTTATTGTGTTAACTGGTATTATAATAGTCATAAGAAAGCTGTAATTCAAAATGTGAACTGCAAAGAATGTTATGCTTCACCATAGTGTTCTGTTGTCAGATTATTTTTCCAGGTCCTTTTCCCTACATGTGTCTGTTCCACTGACACTTGAAGTCCCTGTGATGGCATTAGGTTTCCGTGAAAATCATGTATAGTTTCTCCAAGAGATGAGTTCAGAGTATAGGTAGACTTCAGAACTAGTGTTTCTGATCTGAACTATTTCCTGATGTTTGACTTGGACATTCAACTGTATAAAACATCTCTTAAGTTGGCCTCACAAACTTCTATGTTTACTATAAGATTGGGTGGAAGTAATAATATGGAGAAAAGTTGGAAGTTATTGAAAAAAGTATTCATATTTTTTCATGATGACCTTTTCAAGGTTGCTGCTCTTTTGGGGGGTAAAGAAGTCAATTATCGTGGCAGATATGATCATTGTCCTTCAGAGTCTAATCATGAAAATCCTGAAACAGTTTGATATCATGTCGTACACATTCCACTATTTCTTGTCTAACTGCATAATTAGCTGTGATGAGAGCTTGAAAATATATGGAAACTTAAGCTACATTCAACATTAACTTTGTTAGTATGCTAGAAAGCATGCTGAGTGGAAAATAAACTTGGTATGTTGGATTAATTATGTCAACTTAGGCTTAGGAATGCTGAGGATAAAAAAGATGATCAAATTGCTGAACTATGTTTGCCAAAGAATCGGAGAACTATTAGTATCGGAGATGGAAACGTGTATACATCAAAAGAATCATGTTGGAAGAGTGGTGGAATGATTTTATTTGAAATGAAATTGTTATCATTTAAAATTTTCATGTGCATATGTGGACACATGAAATCTATTTCATTAGAAATCATTGCGTGGATAACTCAGAAAATGACATTTAAAATTGGGTCATTTCTGATTTTGAGTACTACTAGTTTTTGAAGAATATAGAAATATTTTTAAATGCTCCTACTCATTTTTATCATATCCACCAAAGCTGTTATGAGTGATTAATAAGTATTTAATATTTAACCGGAAGATTTTCTTTTCTTCATTCTTTATTTTTAATTTTTTAAAGTATAAAGCAATTGCTCCAGTTTGATTTGCATAAATCTTATGAAATTTTGTCATTGGAACATAGCAATGAGCAAGGTTGGTTGATTCAATTGAACATCAATATATTAAGCTATTAATTTACTTTGTTCACGAGTATAATATCCAAACTAATGCTGGGTTTTGCGTGTTTGTGTAGTGTCGATAATGGATTTCCAGTTGTCACTTTTCATTTTGAGGACTCGCTTTCTTTGACGGTTTATCCCCACGAATATCTATTCAGAATTAGTGTAAGCAAGCTGGATTATATGTTGGTTATTATTTCATTCATTTGATTTGCATATGCTTCCTTACGTACTTTCACTTGCGACTTTGCAGGATGACGAGTGGTGTATTGGTTGGCAGAACAGTGGAATGCAGACAAGGGATGGAAAGGAAATAACCCTGTTGGGAGGTACATTTCAAGCTTTACTTATCTTTATAGTCAGTCAGGTGTTCTTACTCTTAGGTAATGCTATGAAGATTTCATACTTACATATCTTGTTGTGTAGTAAGATCTGATTTTAGGACTTAGGTTTTTATGTTTTGAAATATGGGATTCATCTCATAATACATTTTATTCCGGCTCCTCTCTTAGCGGTAATAATTCCACCCTCAAACTATGAAGTAGCAAGTATTGAAATATGTTACAGTTGTAGTCGATCATAAACAACTTGAATGGATATTGATATAATTAATTTCCGAATTCTTTGTAAATGCAGATCTTGTCTTATCGAACAAGCTCGTTTTGTATGACCTCGAAAATCAGACCATTGGATGGACAGCATATAACTGTGAGTTGCTAGTTCTAGCATTGCTCTTGGTTTCACAATTTTAACTTTTCTCTTCTTGAATTGATTCTATCACATAATTTCCTTAAAGCAATGTTTTCATTGTAGCTTGAT